AGAGTGAAAGAAACACATTTTTTTTTTTTTTTTTTGGCACAACATAACCTTAGAGGTATTAATGCTGATACTGGCACTTAATTTTTTTAATTTATAAAACCTAAATATAATTGTTAACTGGGGTTATTAACTTTTTTTTTAATGTTAAAGTGTTTATTAGTATTTTTCACAGTTGTTTACATACACAATGTACAGAAACACTTCACATTCAATATAACATAACATAAAACCTTTGCTTGGGAGCCATTTCTCTATTTCACCTTTGTCCCATCTGGTTTTATCTAGTTCTTCATTTTTGTTGCTGTCTTTTGTCTTGAATGTTGTCTAGTTCATCCACTGTTCTTCCACTTTTTTGTTTGCTGAAATCTCAAATGTTGTCAGTTTTTTTCATAATGTAGATTTCTTCTTTTATTCCACCTTTTTTTTCTTGACTTGTTAACTTTTTTTTCTACTTAATTTACAGTAGGTAATAAATCATTCAATGACTCATCTAATTGTTCTAATGCCAAAATAAGATGTACAGCCATGTAGCAGCATTTTAGCTAAATGGCTGGATATAGATCTTGTGCTTCTAGACTTCACTGAGGGACGGATTGACTCCATTTGTAAGGGTATGCAAGTGCTCAAAAACAGTAACTTGCCCTATAAAGTGTTTAGGTGTGACAACTGCATTCCAGGTGAATTTGTAAAAAAAAAAAAAAAAAAATAAAATAATAAGCAATAAGTTTTTATTCATGAATATAACTTAAGTTTATGAATATTTCTTCAGTCGGGGGGAAAAAAAGACAATGCCAAAGCCATTTTTCTTATCATAATGGAATTTTGTCTCATATGCATAAATTCCCATTGTCTACATGCATTCTCCAACTGACTGCACACATTTCTGTAAAAACAGCATTCTGTCGTCAAAAGATTCGACACATTAACACATGACACTGCTCCTAAAATTGTTGCACACTGCACACTTTTTTTTCTCATTTGAACAAACTACTCTTGTGTGCTAATTTTAATCAATGTGTGCAAATTTTAACTGGGATATTCTAATTTTGTCAAAAAGTGCAATTTTTAAATGTATCCTATTTTAATGAAACAGTATACAATATTTTGGGAAATGTGTGTTGTTTTTCAGGAAAAGCCTTTTTATCAATTGAAACTCTAACATTTAAAGATAATAGATATACCTTAACTACTTTGAAATTGAGACATGTTTAGTGAGTGGCTTCCTGTTTTTCAAATGGCTTTATGCCCATATCAGTAAACTATTGCTCAAAATGGGAAAACCAGGAGAGCGGTGCAGCATCCATGCCAGGAATGGGCTAAATTCAGGCTAAATTCACCCATATTTACAGTCACAGTCCCAATGAAAAAGTTTTGAACAATTGTAAAGCAGGATGGAGGACATTAGCAAAGCTCTGGATCAACAAACCGTCATCATGAGTTGTGTTTATCAGTATGATTAATTAGAGTAAACCTGGTTTGCTCCTAAACTTCTAAGGAGTACCTTCCTGTTCTATAATCTCTTTATTATTTTGAGTTCACTTTATTGCGCTGAGCTCAGCTTGAGTTGACTACAATTAACTCAGCAAATTTTCCAGGGTTGTAACTTTCCACCCATCTGCCACCTTGCCTGCAGCATTTTGACCCTTGCTCTCTACCTGTTTTTCTCCAGTTCATTATAGTTACCTATAGTGTTTGTAATATTCCGCCAAAACTTCAGATTTGTTTTCACTAACCATATCCTTGAGTTTTTAATTGACTAAACTGAATCCGAAACTGATTCAAGGAAGTTATCTTGACTTCCAGCATTTTGATGTTATCCCTAAAAATCTTGGATCTGGCTATAAAATAGTGTTATAACATTGTTTTTAATCCTGTCAAAAAAAAAAAAAAAAGGAATGCCTAATTAGCTTCTTGTAAGGACTTAACTATCACAATTAATAACAACTTACTTTAGGAGGTCATTTTGGGGCCATACAGCTACCACAATAGGTAGGTATAAATCTGCAGTGTAGTTTTTTTAAGCACCTCTAAAATGTCTTGCTATTAATCTAGACATAAGCAGGGTTTCATGAAACAAACTACTGCTTAGATCCATATTCAAGTTCAGTCTCTTCTGGAGAATTTTCTGAAGGTTTATGTGGCTCATTTTTATCTTATCCAGCAGAGGGCAGTATATCACAGGCTGTATTACAAGAGTGTCGCTGATGCATCTTAAAAAGATGTAATAAAACCTTAATTAAATTAAAACAATAGTGAAAAAAGTGTCTGCTGTGCTGTTTTTCTTCTATTTCTTCTTATACATATGGACTTAAGGAACCTGGGGGTGTTTATCCCTTATGTCATTTGCTGCCTTGCAAATGTATTCTTAGTATATTATAGTTAAATAGTAAGGTTAATTAAGTTACTTTAAATGCAATTAGAGGAAGAAGAGATATATCAAATAAGTTTTAATCTTCATATCCGTTTTCAGACAATATGCATTAACCAATAATCATAAACAGATCACTAATCAATGTTAGATCTCAGGCTACATATACTGGCAAGTTTATTAAGTGGGAGATTTTGTTTATTTAATTAGCTTCTGTATAGGTTCAAACGAATTAAATGCATTTGGAACTGAAAATGTAATTTATTTAACATATTATTTTAGATTTCCTGACATTGATTTATCGATTGTTATTTTTTATTATTTGTTAATTTTCTGAAATATATTTCATTCATTCATTCATTCATTCAAATTCCATTTATTTAAACCCCTCAGCTTTATTTTTGATACAAACATGAAGTTATGGGTAATTTCCTTTGTTCTAATAGCAGACCAACAAAAAATAGAGCATAATATTGAAGTAGAAATTAAAAGTTATTTTGCTTTAGGAATGAATATAAAGATATTACGTCTTTTTCAAAATAAATCCAGCGCAACACAAATAAGTAGACAGGGTCCATTTAATACACTGTTAAAACATGAATGTGATCATTAGTGATTAAAATTTATCACATGAGGCAAGAAATGTGTCTCAAAGGTCAGGGAAGACATGGAGGAGCTGGGTGAATTTTTTAAACCATATCCACTACTAACAAGCCATGAAAGGAGAGCCATAATTTAAAAAAGAAGGCAGTGAGAGAATCTGTTTACTAGAAAACCAATCACTGTGCCCTTCAGAAACACCTTTAGAAGAAAGTAAGGGGGGTTCTGCTTAAAGTTGTCCACAATTCATATAGGGGTTAAAGCAACCCTGTGGAAATTTTTATTCTGGTGGGATGAGACCAAAACCTTTAGTGTCCAGACAGTGTTTGTTTAAACTGACTGGTCTAGACCCGTTTTATTTTAAATAGACTAAATAAACTGGTACTGACACGGAGTACATCTGTAATTAAAACGAAAGTTGGTTCAAGAGACTCAGGGGAGCTGATTACAAATGCATTTTCAAAATTTCTCTTCACAGTTTTGTTCTTCTATGTGTCAGTTTATCATCTGAAAACCCAGTAAAGTTAACTCGACGTTTGCGGTTCTTATGTGAAGAAATAAGTTAACAGGACATGAATACCCTTTAAGGGCACTTTAAATTATGATCTACATAGTTATTTCAACTGACTTTGAATATGTTGTGTAGAACTCCAACCTAACTGAAATCTCTGAGGGGTTTATTACCAAACAATGACACAGACATGACACTGTGAACTAGTTACCTATATTCAGGGAGTGCTCTGGCCTTTTACCCAATCAGGAGCTCCAACAAACAGGCAGGAATAAGCAGGTTCGTGAGCTCTGAGGTCTAACAGGGGGACATTTAAGCTCAACACTTGCGCTTTGACCTCTAAAGTCAAATATGCAGAGAGTTTGTTCTCCTTCATGGACAGCAAACGCCTTGTGCTCAGCAGGGTGAACTTGACGCTCCAAGGATTTACACGGGACTCTTATTGTTGCATAAGGCTGCTGCCGTATAAAGGGGGACAAAGTCCACTGTAATCTGGGACATCAGGCAGAAGCTTAAGTAACTCCTAAAAAAAGCAAAAAAAGCAAATACCCTTTACTCCTCATTCCTTACATACCTTAGTTTACTCAGTAACTTTAATTAAACACTTAGATTGGCGATTTAGTGGAAATTCACCACCAGCATTCAGATAACATTTTTTAATCAATCTAGAAACCAGTTTATGTGTAATAAAGTTAAACTTTTATTCCAAACCAAACATGGTCACATAAACAATTTTACAATTTACAGTACATTAAACATGAATAGTTACATATACATATTATAGCATACCTTTAGTCACTTTTTTGTTCCATATACATTAAAACTAGTACACATGACTTCAAATATACAAGAAACTTAAATACCGTCAAAAATGCATAACAGCAATATTAAAGTGGAATGTTCCTTTTTAAATGTTTATGAGCCTGTCTGCAGGCTTTTGTTACATCAGTGTGAGGCAATTTGGAAGACTAATGAGGGAGGATGGCAAGCTAAAAGTACAGGAATACTTCTCGACTCATGCCGTTCATTCTGAACCCAGCAGTAGTGCAGTCTTTCAGCCTCTCCATCAGTGGTAATGTGCAAATGAAGGTATGATGCATCGTTTGAGTCCCGCTAAGTTTGAACTTAGTGCTACACTTTAATGCTTACAGAAAAAATATACAATATTCAGTAAATGATGATAAATCATCCCAGTTCACCTGATTTAGGTCTACGAAACTGCAATGTCCACAAAGAAAAAAAACAACCCCAAATGATTTGGAATCTGATGGAGAGGTAAGAAAGAAAGAAAAAAACACCTCCAAGAGAAATTAAACTCCTTCTCTGTAACATTCAGCTTCTTCTGACTCCCTTTTTAATGAAAAAAAAAAAAAGTACCAAAAATGTATAACATCTCTGGCAAGGCTAGATAAAGTAGCTCCCCCTGGGTAATTGGAGGGAAGATGTTTCACTCCATGGAATGAAAACCTATTCCAGGTTTGGTTTTTATTATTTTGCTTGTTGTTATTCCTTTTTTTAAAAAAAAAGAGTGGACATTTTGTTTGTGTGCTTGTCAGTTGGGACATATAGGAAGCCGTTAAGCTGCCTGAGCTATGTGCAAAAATCCTCCACCAACCGGTTTGTGATGGGAATTTAAGACTAAAAGGGGATTCAGGAATGGAGGAGAAAACTAATCCCAACCAGTTAATTACAGCAGATATCCCCTCTGTGCAAGTGTTTAAAAAAAGAAAACACTCAAGTTTTAGAGCGAATATGATAAGTCATCATGCTGCTGAAGTGCATCACGGGGCTTGGTTTGGGAGTAAACCATCAATCTGATGGGAAACAATAGGTGGAGGTCAAGATGCAAGTCAAGTCCACAACATGGCACAGTGAATCTACGTCCAGTGAGTGAAAACTAGTGTCCGTACTGGATTCCATTTGAATCCTATAGGTAGGAGTCCATGGAAGGGGCATAAGAAAAGCCCACAAAGGCCTCAGCTGCCTCTTTTATGCTGGCAGTGGAGAGGGCGCAGTCTGGGGAGCAGCCGATAGAGTTGGGAACCGGCTCATCCGTGAACTCTGGATCAAAGTGCCGCAGGTCATTAGGTCCCGTCTGCAGGAGAGAGAGAGAAACAGAGGGGATTAGTGTTGCTTTCCAGCACCTCGCCTTAATTGGACATGCTCAAGATCACAGAGCAGATGTTGCATGGTTTTAATCTTGTTATGCAAGCACAAATAAGGGAGTAAATAAGGTGACTATGCATGGGTCAGTTAACAATGATGGCTTCAAGGTATTGCCACAAAATTAATTCATTTAGGAACAGCTTGTCAGAAAAGCTTTCGACCTGCCAATTTTACTATAACTTGAATAAGTACGACAGGCTGGGCTCCTTTAGCTTCACAGCTTAACTTTCTGCATTTTCTAAAATCAAATTACAATTGTTTTATGTGCAAGGAGCAATTTCTCAGAGACAACACTGTGTTACTGTACTTTATAACACCAGAAAATAAAATCTGACCTGAAACTTCCTCTGTTATTAAATTTAAAGAACTTTAAAAACATATGAACAGTTGATTCCAGTAGTGGATCTATGCCAAAAAATGTCTGCTGAACAGATGTTTAAGAATTTTAAGAACCTTACCACATTAGGGTTAAAGGGAGGCGTTATCTTCTTGGCGTTGAGGTCATCCCAGTTGATAGGAGAGAAAAACATGTGTTTCTTGATTTCAATCTGAGGAAAATGCACACAAAAGATTAGTTCAACATTGACAATCAGCATGCATCAGCACATAAGACAGCAAAACAAACAGATAAACACTCACAAAGTCCTCTGTGCAGCCCAGTCTCTTGGTGCGGTCTTTTTGTAGCAGCCCCTCCAAAAGCTGTCTGGCTGAATTGGAGATGTTGGGTTTCAGTTGAAGAGGCTTGTTTAGGATGTTGTCGTACATTTCTGCTGTGTTTCGGCTGTAGAACGGAGGCTGCGGAGATAAAAAGATGGACATTTTCAACACCGAGGAGTTTTGCTTAATGCATCATGAATTTATTTCTTAAAGGAGTAGGTTTAGACTTTTTATGTTAATTATTATGTGCTACATACCAGGCCATACAGCATTTCATATAGAACAGCTCCCAAGCACCACCAGTCTACTGTCCTGTCGTATGGTTGCTTGTGTAGCACCTCAGGAGCCAAATACTATAAAGGATGGGGAAAAAAATTCATTAAACTTAAAATTTTGGATAAAGTGGGAAAATAATCACAAATAACGAAACACTGTCTCCTTACCTCTGGCGTACCACAGAACGTCGACGTAGTCCCATTGGGTTCGATATTCTCCTTGCAGAGGCCAAAATCTGTGAGGATTATGTGGCCCTGTGAGTCCAGCAGGATGTTCTCTGGCTTTAGGTCTCTGTAGACGATGTTGAGGGAGTGCAGGTACCCCAGTGCGCTGGCGATCTCTGCAGCGTAAAACCTGGCTCTGGGCTCCAGGAAGCAGCGCTCTCTTTGGAGGTGGTAGAACAGCTGCAATAAAAGAAAACAAAAAAGAAAAAGATTATATATTAAATATTTTCTTTCCTGAAATTGTAAACTATATATAAAGGGGGGTTTGGGGCAGGAAATTAGTATGAAAGAAAAAACAATATTAAAAAGACAGAGCTAAGAGGGGAAACCGGATGGGAGGAAATAAAAAGGCAGGAAGGCGACTCGCTTAAAAAAGTTTGACAAGAGAAGACAGATGAAACGAGAGCCAAAGGTGGAGAGAAAGAGAGAGGAACAGGATGGAGGAGAAGAAAGGAGAAATAAAAAAGTAAATGTGCTCCACTTCCTGATGAGGTTCATATTTAATCAGCACTGTCTTTGCTCGTGCAACAATAGCAGGAAATTAGCTCGATTAGACACATAAGAGACTCTGCTGCGCTGCTAATTTTGGAGCTCAGTCGCTCCCCTGCCGTCCAAGCCCACCCCATGGTTTCCTAAACGGTGATTTCTCCCCCAGTAAAAAAAACTAATAATCTGCCTCTCAAGACAGGATTTCCCCTCCGTCTAAGCTGGGAGAAAATCATTGACTCATTCTCTAAAAGCATTCACCTCTAAAATGCTAGCTTGTTTCATCGTGATCTATAAGCTCTGATGCATTTTATATTATCTGCACCCAGGCAGACACCAAAAGCACCCTGTCCTTCCTTTAGCTCCTTAATTATTTTATCGTTAACTATAACTAACTTTAGAAGTTATTTCAGTCAAGTATTAGCCATTTTTTTTAGTCCTTTTTAGATTTCAGCAATGTTCCATATAGCTAATATGTTTAAACGTGGTATTAAGAGTAAAAAAAAAAAAAAACATTTTAGTAAAATGCTTCTTTTCAAGTAAGAACTTACGTCTGTGTCCAGGTTTTAATCTTATTATATTGCTAAGACAAATGCCAAGCCTGCTACTGAGCTGGGTTCCTAATGAATGGGAATATTTAACCTTGGCCATTGTGGAAAAGTTAACAAAGGCTATTATTTCAATATTTTTTATGATTTAAACACAAGCTTTTTTTTTTTTTTTTTTTTTTTTTTTTTTTTTTTTTTTTTTGAGGGGTTGATGTTTTTAAACTAAATTATTAGCATAAGAAATGCAGCTGAATAAGAGCATTTGAAATATTGACAAGTATTTAACTGGCCTTTAAGCTGTTAGCTTTTTAACTATACTTCGAAATAATTCAATAATGAATCGCAAGTAAAATGCACATAGACATATTTTTGTAGTTAAAACTATAACAGATTATTTTGTGTTGTATTTTTCTTCTCAATCATCTCTCTTTCCAGTTTTAAGTTCAGGGTACAGTTAAACAAAACACCTCACCTCTCCTCCGTTGATGTAGTCCAAGACGAAGTAGAGTTTGTCTGCAGTTTGGAAGGAAAAATGCAGACCCACTAAAAATGGATGTTTGACATTCTTTAGCAGTACATTCCTCTCTGACATGATGTGTTTCTCCTGAAACCAAAAAAAAAAAAAAGAACACAGCAGGGTTAGACTGGTTTACCATAAACACGCCTCGTGACGTACTGGTCTGTTTATGTGTGTGTATTTCTAGATACAGGCATTTCGTCACATACCTCCTTCTTTTTGAGAATAGCCTTCTTCTGTAACACCTTGACTGCGTAAAACTGGTCATCTGTGCGGTGACGGGCGAGAAGCACCTTGCCAAAGCTGCCCTTTCCAATAACTTTCAGGAAGTGGAAGTCACTTGGCTTAGCTGAGGGGTTAGATGATGGCCCAAGGTTGATCTGCTGGGATGGACTGGGCTGTCAGGGTGCAGATCCAAAAAAGAGGGAAGTTAAGTATCAGAATGGGTTAAGCAGAGAATATGTATAAGCAGCCCTGGAAAGAAAAAGGCTAAGATTTGCTAAGTGTACTCACAGGAGGAGAGGGGTTTGAATTCATGAGCTCAGGATCCTGTGGAGGAGTCAAATTCAGGATAGACTGCACCTCAGGACTGGAAGAAAAAAAAAGTATTAAGCTGTATGAAATGAAACAACATCAGCTGATTTCAAAATAAAGTTAGTTTTAGAAAGTCCCCAGCAGGGAAAAAAAAAGTCTTGCTTTTATAGCTTTGGGTTTCCCAAACAATGTGTCCTGTGGTGGAGGAAGAACAATAATATGAGTCAGAAAGTACTCACTGCTTGCAGGCGTAGGAGTTTGTGGACAGCTTCTGAATAAAGTCATTTAGACCCATCCTCCTCTGTTTCATAAAAGCTGCAAAACAACAATAAAAAGAAAGAAAATACATTTAAAAAAGGCTCCAAGAATAAGACAGCTGAGGGAATGAAACATTTCATCACGTCAAATCAAATCCATACCAGTGACTAATTCCACAAGGCCCCTAGTCTTTGAATAAGTAAGAGCAGGCTTCTCTGTTTCTGTTTTGATCGTCATGTTGAGTTCAGGATCCGTACCACCCTGCTTAAAAGACGAATCCAATTTGACATTCAACACTTCCAGCTCTTTTTATAAAGAGTCCTAAAGAGGGAGGAGCTGGCAACGCCTCCTAAAGGGGGGCGACTCTATGGAAACATTCCGCTTTGGTAAATATAGAGAGGTGATCGATCCCAGTTAGGCCAATAGAGGGCAGCTGCGCTCCAAACGCCTCGTTTGCGTCAGAGAAGTTTAATGAAAAAAACGTCCTCAGCTCACTGGAACATTTCTGCTTGCACATATGTTTGTGCAATTCCATGACTACCCTGATTTTGCAACTACTCTACTAAAAGTAAAAAAAATAAAACTCCAATAACTTAAAGTCTCTGAGAGACTTTGTTTTTTGCAACATTTTAAACATTGGTTTGTTTTCTTTCTGTTACCTTTCCGCTATAGAAACAGGCTGAGAAAATAGATTAATACATGTTTGACTGTAATACTAGAAGAAATATCTCATAGGTTTTCTAGGCTGGCTCTTTAAAGCTAGGGAGTGACGCAGAGCCACAAAAGGGGGAAGGAGGGGAGGCTACATGCCAAGAAAGGCCGCTGTAAGTGGAAAAGTACAGAGTGAGAAACTGCTGAACACCTCTAGTCCAAAAAGCAGGAGGAAACAATCCGCAACAGAGTCCTCTCAGAAAAGATCCACAGTTCTTAAAGCGTCCGATTAGAATATGAATAAAATGGGAAAACGCAGCTTTGCATCAAGTAAATAACAGTTATATAAAGCACCTGATACAAGTTTATCTTACACCCCTCTGTGGATATATAAATGGAATGTATGTAAGAGGATACAACCTGTGAAAGGCAAACTCATTCCCACAGAACATACCACTGACTGTGCGTAAAATGGATAAAGACGCAGAGGACGCACCAACACCGCGCTTCTCAGCTTTACATAACAATAACGAACAGTTGTAATAAACTTAGTCCTGACTATGCCTACTAACGTGGAGTATAAGGGTCCAACATTAAAACGCAAACAAACCTTTAAGCTCTGATGGAGTTTTCATATTCCTGCTGCAGCTCCAGAGTTCAACAAGTCGCCAGACAGAGCTGTGAGGCTGCTGGAGCTCTTATAGCTACGGGACTCCCTATCAGCGAGGAGTTTCCATAGATAACAGCATCATAAATCATTTTATGACTCCCTGAACTTTTACTCTCAAATTCAAGGTGCAGAAAGTGGAGTGGCAGCTGATAAATACTTTATCGGAGAGTGAGAAGGGGTTAAAATAGAAAATATAGAGGCTGCGGAATGTTTAGAGGTGATTTCTCCAAGTTTCTGCTTTCTATACTTACAGGTCAAAGCGGCCGTTTTGTCTTTCATAAGGATGCCTTTAACTCCTGGGTCACAACAAGCAGAGAGGCTGCGGGCTCCTTGGTAGCGAGGTAATCAAACTACAGCGCATTCCTCTTCTTGGAGAGCTTTTTTTTTTTTTCATTTTAATCAGGGCGGAGACGCACCGCCTCTATTTCCTTCCATTCCACGGTTTTGAGTTTCACGGGTGGTTGCATGACTTCTCACAAGTGGAGGGTTGAGAGTGAATGAATGGTTCCTTTAAATGCTCAACTTTCAAGTTCAACCCTTGTTTTAGAGACTGAAAATAATTTTTTTTTTTTAGACTTTTTTTTGGTTTTCTTGTTTTTTGTCCTTTCTAGTAACAAACTACAAGTAACAATGAAATGACAGTAAAACACCAGTTCATCCACTCTGGAATGGGGTTTTTGTTAGATTAAAGCACATCAATAGCTCATTTTCGCCATCCACATACCTTATCATCACAAAGAAAAGATAACTTTTGTTTAAAACAAAACTTCAATTACAGACAAAAAATTGAAAGGGTTTAAGAAAGCCATGATGGTGAACCAGGAAAAAAATGAGGATTTGCTTAGGTGCTATAATGATAATAGATACAATCAATGGCGTAACTATATATATCGGTAAGCAGAGACTGCAGTTGCTTAGGGCCCCCCAGCCTCTTAGGTGCCCCGCCACTGACACCTGGAGGGCCCCCTATGCAATTGTGGACTAGGACGTCTGTTTGCAAATGTAATGGTGCAAAAAAAATCCACTAAAACCCACCTGATACTAAGATGACTGACTGGACCTTATTTACACCCCAACACAGGGCAGGTTTCACCATGATGGTGAGCTGTTTAAACGCGACACCGATAGCAAAGCAGACAGTGGTACTTTTAATTACCATGTTAATAACTGTGTATAGTTCATTGGACGGTTGGTAAAAATACACTCATATAATATGTTTCAAACCGCAATAAAGATCTTAAAATAACGATGTATTTGAATATTTTATTTTTTACACTACGACTTGTAATTATGGGTAATCCACAGCGTAGATTAAAACCATAACCGTTACGTACAATGTGTTAGCGATGATGGATATCAAAAAGAGGTACTTAAGCGGATTCTCAAGGTAACTCAAGGTAGCCCGATAAGACAAATTTTACAGCAGAATATACTAAAGTATATCCATGTCTAGGAAAGATCTATTGCTGTTGGATACAATAACCGGGTATTTCTCATTTATGTTTTAAAACATAGATATAACATGTCCACACATTCATATTTTAAAGCAGCCACTTTCACTGCAATCATTACGCAAGGTGGCCATTTAGTATGTTAAACCAATTGCTGCCCAGGAAGGGAGAATGGACTTGGTTATAAAGTCACAAGGACAAATAATTGTATTTACAAATGGAAAATGCTGAAATTAAAAAGGGGGCGTGTCATTTGCTACAAAGTCAGTGGTAAGTTTGGGCTTACAGTGTGCGATTTTGTTGCCCTATTCGGGCCGACTTTTCAGCCGCACCATAATTTTTCGATCGGGCTGACTGTCAGCCTGATTGTGCGTCTCGTAGTGTACTGGGGGTAACGAGGGGCTATCAGTCTCTCATGACCAGCTCCCAATCAGGAATCATTAGGTTTGATTTTCTCGCAAACTAATGATTTTCAGTCGAGCGTCGTGGGCAAATCTCTCAGTGGGTATGTGCAAACAAGGATTCTTCTTCTTCTTTATCTCAGATGTAAACACAGCAGCTTGGCGGGGGTGTGAGTGAAATTGAGTTCTTTCTGTAAAATTGACAGACCATAGTAGCCAAGTTTGCACAGCCATTTCTTTGTCCAAATATGTCGTCGCCTTTTCTTTTTAGGGTTTTCAGCACAAAATTGCACAAATTGCCAAGGCAGCACGTTTCACTTTAGTGAGCTTCACATTCCTCTTCTACTCGTTTGGCTTCTGGATAGACAAGTCCGAGTAGCGCCATCTTACTGCGGAGCTGAGTCCGACGTGGTTTTTAGACGTACAGTGTGAGCAGGTAGATCGCATTAGAGCCTCATGGTGAACATGCATCGTGAGCCTGCGGTTTAGTCGTACAGTGTGAGCTGTAGCAGCGTGCAAAGATTGAAAATTCAAGCAGTGTATGCCCGGGTTAAAGGAAGTTGAGTGAAGTAAAAAATGGTGGGTGAAAAATGTCTTGCCCAAAGAAGAGCAGAAACAAAAAACCCAAAACCTTTTGGAAGGAAGGAGCTAAAAATGGCCCAATCGTTTTTTTGGGGGAGATTCTTAAGTCATTGACTGTTTCTGTTGTCAATTGTTCAAGAGTCAACAAACAGACATAGCCAGGATATGAACTACAACATTTGCAATCCTTGCATAAAGCCAAACCACATCAATTTATTTTGCAACTGTATTGGAGATTGGAGACCGTTTTAGAGGTCTAGAATCCAAGCTGGCCGGGATCATCACACTCAGTAATGATATGGGGAGCAAACTCATCTATGGGTGTTAATTAGAGACTGTGTTTTATCAAGTACAAAATCAGTACATTTGCTAACAGATCATTTTAGAGCACTTTGTCCTTCCCTCTGCTTATAATGTTTATAAAGGAGCTTCTCTCATTTTCCAATAAAAACCTTGGTTTTATCTCACACAGCCAAAAGCACCAGTACCTGATTTGAGGACTATGTTGTCCCTGGTTTGTCTTAGCTGCAGACTCAGCTGATCTACATCAGATAGAATCCAAGGAGAATAGTTAACAAGGAAATATTAACAAATATCTAAATTCTACATCATCTTGATGCAGTAATTTAAGCAGACTGAACCTGGGTTCAGTGCATACATTTACAGTACATGGACATACTTTTCTGGAGCCTTATAGCAGGATTTTTTTTTATTATTATTATTATTTGTCTATTTATTTATGAAATTTTCTTAAAACGTTTTTTGGTTTGGTTGGTTATAAGACTTGCAGTTGCTTAGGCTCCTGTGTAGGACAAGTTAATTGCTAGTTTAGTAATAGTTCTAATGCTTAAGTCAGACTTGCTAGCCAGTTACACGTTTTTTAAACATCAGTAGTCGTCAAAAAAAAGACTCTTCTCTGCTTTAATTTAGCTGTAGTCTTTTTTGGATAAGTTTAGAAACCTCCTTCCTATTTTACTGAAGTTTTTATGTCATAATGACAAAGCAGTTCCCTTTTAGTTTATTTTTTGATAACAAGGGAAGATAAAACAAGCAAGCAACATGATCTGAGTTATCAGCTAGAATATCAGTGATACCTTTATGTGTCTTTTAACTGTTGAATCAATTTCTACTGAGAGATCCTGATGAGGATCTATTAAATGCATGCAACATTTGCAAAAATCAAATATGTAACAGTTTTACATTTTCTTTCTTTTACCAAGCAGATTTTTTCCCCCAGTGTTTTTTCTACCCCTTTTTCTTCTCCAGCTGAGGCTGTTCACACACTGGACTGCTTTGGAAATT